CCCCCCCCCGACCATCCCTCCCCCTCCTCATGACCCTCCCCCGAGCCCCCCTGATTTTGGGGGACCCTCCCCAGGACCAAGAAAATCCACCCATGGCCGTCGTCATCCTCACCCACCCCCCGACATCCCGGAGACCCCCGACCCCCTCCTGACCCCCCTGGGGACCCCCAACTCCCCACCCTGCTCCTCCCCACGGACCCCCCCGAGCCCCCCGATTGTGGGGGGACCCCCCTGACCCCCCATGACCCCCCCAGGACAAGGAGATTTACCGGTGGCCCATCAAGGAGTCCCTGAAGGCCATGCTGGCCTGGGAGTGGACGGTGGAGAAGGCCCGGGAGGGGGAGGACGAGCGGGCTGAGAAGAAGAAAACCCGCAAAATCTCCCAGAGCGCCCAGGTGGGACCCCCAAAAACACCTGGGGGGGGTGGGGGGCACCCCAAAAACACCTGGGAGAGGATGGGGGAACCCCAAAATCACCTGGGAGGGTGGAGGAATGCCAAAATCACCTGGGAGCGTGGGGGAACCCCAAAAACACCTGGATGGGTGGGGGAACCCCAAAATCACCTGGGGGAGGTGAGGGGAGCCCAAAAACACCTAGGGGGGGTGGGGGCACCCCAAAAACACCTGAGGGGGTGGGGGGAGCCCAAAAACACCTGGGGGAGGTGGGGGAACCCCAAAATTACCTGGGAGGGTGGAGGCACCCCAAAATCACCTGGGGGGGTGTGGGAACCCCAAAAACACCTGGGGGGGTGGGGGACCCCAAAATCACCTGGGGAGGGCCGTGGGGTGGGGAAAGGACACCCCGAATGCCTGGGGGTCCATGGGAGGTTCACGGGGCACCCCAAACCTCCCCTGTGGGTCCATGGGGGTCGCTGGGGTGGGGAAGGGCCCCCCCAAAATCCTGGGGTCCTCCCTGACCCCCCCCTTTCCCCCCCCTCAGGCCACGTACGACCCCTCTCACGGGTACAGCCCCCAGCCCGTGGACCTGACGGGGGTGACGCTGTCCAGGGAGCTCCAGGTGAGGACCCCCCGATGTCCCCCTGTGTCCCCTGGGACCTCTCAGTGTCCCCCTGTGTCCCCTGGGACCCCCAATGTCCCCCCTGTGTCCTCTGGGACCCCCAATGTCCCCCCTGTCTCCCCATGTCCCCCCGTATCCCCTGGGAGCCCCAGTGTCCCCTGGGACCCCCCAATGTCCCCCCTGTGTCCCCTGGGACCCCCCAATGTCCCCCCTGTCCCCCCCCAGATCCCTCCATTCCCCCGTGTCCTCCCACGTCCCCTCACGGGGGTCTCCCCCTGTGTCCCCCCGTGTCCCCTGGGGTCTCCCCCGGGGGTCACCCACCAGAGACACCCCCAGGCCCCCCCAGAAGCCCCCCCAGACCCCCACGAGCCCCTCCTGCCCCCCCCCAGGCCATGGCAGAGCAGTTGGCTGAGAACTATCACAACACCTGGGGCCGCAAGAAGAAACTGGAGCTGGAGGCCAAGGGTGAGACCCCCCCCAAACCCCAAATCTGGGGAGACCCCGGGGATCCCCCAGGGCCCCCCCACCCCCAGGGGAACCAGGAGTGAGACCCCTGAACCCCCAAATCTGGGGCAGATCCCATAACCCCCCCAGGGACCCCCCAACCCCAGGGGGAGATGGAGGCCAAGAGTGAGACCCCCCCCAAACCCCAAATCTGGGGGACCCCCCAGGGCCCCCCCACCCCCAGGGGAACCAGGAGTGAGACTCCTGAACCTCCAAATCTCGGGGAGACCCCAGAGCCCCCCCAGGGTCCCCCCAACCCCAGGGGGAGCTGGAGACCAAGAGTGAGACCCCTGAACCCCCAAATCTGGGGGAGATCCCATAACCCCCCCAGAGGGAGCTGGAGGCCAAGAGTGAGACCCCCCCCAAACCCCAAATCTGGGGGACCCCCCAGGGCCCCCCCACCCCCAGGGGAACCAGGAGTGAGACCCCCGAACCTCCAAATCTTGGGGAGACCCCAGAGCCCCCCCAGGGCTCCCCCACCCCCAGGGGAACCAGGGCTGAGACCCCCAAACCCCAAATCTGGGGGAGACCCCAAAGCTCCCCCAGGGACCCCCCAGCCCCAGGGGGAGCTGGAGGCCAAGGGTGAGACCCCCCCCCTGAACCCCCAAATCTGGGAGAGATCCCATAACCCCTCCAGGGGGAACTGGAGGCCAAGAGTGAGACCCCTAAACCCCAAATCTGGGGGGGGTCCAGGGGGTTAATTTGGGGTGCAAGGGGGGGTGTCCCTGCAAGACACGGGGGGCCAGGGAGAAGGGGTGGGGGCACCCTTGGGTGCCGGTGGGGCTCAGGGGGGCTCAGGGGTCATTGTGGGGGCTCGGGTGCTAATTTGGGGTGCAGGGGGGGGGGTCACACCCCCTCCTGGTCCCCTACGACACCCTGACGGCCAAGGAGAAGGCCCGAGACCGGGAGAAGGCCCAGGAGCTGCTCAAGTTCCTGCAGCTCCACGGATACGCCGTCACCCGGTGAGGGCCAACCCCAAAAACACCCCCGGGGACCCCAAAAACACCCCCAGGGACAAAAACACCCCTGGGACCACAAAAACACCCCCCGGGGAACCCAAACACCCACAGGGAACCCAAAAACACCCCCGGGGACCCCAAAAACACCCCTCAGGGACCCCAAAAACACTCCTCAGGGAGCCCAGACACCCCCAGGGAACCCAAACACCTCCCCAGGACCCCAAAAACGTCCCCCGTGGAACCCAAAAACATCCCCCAGGGACCCAAACACCCCCTGGGGACCCCAAAAACACCCCCAGGGACCCCAAAAACACCCCTCAGGGACCCTAAAACCCCTTGGGGGGAACCTGGAATCCCAAAGGAAACCTGGAATATGGGGGAGTCAGGGATTGGGGGGATGCTCAGGGATTGGGGGGGGGCTCAGTGGTTGGGGGGGACCCCAAAATTCAAGGGGACTCCCAAATCCACTGGGGAACCCCAAAACCCAAAGAGGGACCCCAAAACCCTCGGGGAGGGACCCCAAATTCAGGAGGAACCAGGGGCTGGAGGGGGGGGACTCGGGGATTGAGGGAGAACCAAAATCCAGGTGGAGACCCCAAAATCTGGGAACACCCCAAAATTTGGGGGGACTCAGGACCCGGGGTGGGGGGCACAGGGAGCCTGGGGGGTCTCGGGGCAGGGAGGGGGTTTGGGGGAGCAGGGGGGGTTTAGAGGAGCAGAGGGGGATTTGGGGGAGCAGCGGGGGGGGTGTTGTTGAGTTTTGGGGTCCCCCCCTTGTTTTTAGGGGGCTCAAGGACATGGAACTGGACACGTCGTCCATCGAGAAACGCTTCGCCTTCGGCTTCCTGCAGCAGCTGCTGCGCTGGATGGACATTGCCCAGGAGTTCATTGCACACCTGGGTGAGACCCCCGAGCCCTGGGGGACCCCCAAAGCCCCGGGGGGACCCCTCAGACCCCTTCAGACCCCCCCAGAACTCTGGGGATGCCCCCAAACCCTCTGTGACCCCCCAACCCTCGGTGGGACATCGCCCAGGAGTTCATCACCCACCTGGGTGAGACCCCTCAGACCCCTTCAGACCCCCCCCAAAACCC